GGGAAAGAAAGGGAGTCTTGGGATCAAGGGCTTGACTGTGAGCTGTGTAGTCAAGTCAGTCACGATTCTGTGGCGTGATTTGTGAGTGTAAAACAGATCTCGTGATCTAGCGAATGTCGGTGACTATACAGTCATGTATGTGGCGAAAGGGTAGCTACACTGTCCATAAAAAGATCCTTCGGTAAAATCGCTTGTATCATAGAGTTTTTCTGTTTCTTATGTACAGAATCCACCTACAAACACAGATTTGATGAGGGGTTGCCAAGTACGGCACCCATTTGGCCATAGGTGAATGCCATTGCGAACCGTGTGACCTTCGAGAGATTGCATCCAAAAATTCACGCTGGTTACAATGTTGTCGCTAGTCTATATTCCTCTCGCATATTGATTTGTTTCGTTTATCGGTTGCGTGATGCATGACACTGCTGTGTTTCATCAGCGCCTAAACTGTGGAGTGTTTTAGTTGTTGATCGGTCGGCAGTTTTTCGGTTCACGTTTACCTTAACCTTGTTTGGACAGTCCTTATACACTGTCCTGGCAAAATTAATCTAGAAGGGAGAAGCACTGGACTCGAGTTTAGTTCGTCAGCAGTGCGTAATCTTGGTCATGTCGGACCTTGAACTCCGGACAGGACATGCGAGGAGAGCGTGTTACCACTAGTCCATCAGCACACAAAGGACACGTCTGAGCGAGTGAGCTTGTTCCGGCTTGAAAACTGCCATTTATTTTGTCCGGAGCCTCGAACGACTACTCAGTCCCGGTTGCATCATTCTATCGACCCAGTTGTTAGCAATGCCCAGTTAGATGGTGCCACAGACAAACTGGGTCAGTCGATCAACACAACCAGGACAGTTGCTGTGTCGTCATTCGAGTCTCCGGGCGAACCAATCACAAAACTCAAGAGCGAATACAATCTCCTGTTCACATATGACAGTTCGGACGATCTGGCTTCGTAAGTCAGATGTCCAGAGTCCAAACTCCGGGGAAGGTCAATGAACTGCACTATTTGTTGTTGATCAGGTGGCTGTTGATCTGTTCTACGACCTTGGGAATTGACTTGCAAACGGGGGGACATCATCAGCGCGCACTTGGGTGGGTCTGCCTGATTATAGTAAGCTGGCACTAAGTCCCTTCCCCGTCCACCTTTATTCATCTCTTCACAATAAGGCTTTCAGGTAAATCATAGTTTTACGGCAGCGAAGTATCGATGTTGAACACTGATGTCATGCTGTCGATGATGATGAGCCTTCGGCGCATCGACCCGTATGCTTCCATCTCCCCGACATATTTACCAGCTGTTATTTGCTTTCGAGCACCATTTGATCAATTCGTTCATTTTCAATCAAGTTTCTTTATACCATCTATCAAGTTTCCGGGTTTAGTTTCACGGGAAGCTTAGATAAATCCCACCTGAGCCTGTCGTGTGTGATATTTCTCAACTGGTTGTACTGCACAAAGGAAACCTCTTGTTTCAGTTTGTACGACATTTTAGATATCACTGTATATTTTCATGAAGGAAACTACTCATAAGGTTTTCATAAAGGAAACTACTCACAAGGTTGCTGAAAACTCTTCGACAGTCCATGACCGTTTCCGCTCATCAGGTAGGCGCAGTCCCCGAGTTTCCGTCAACCTTATGATCTACTTGAACCCAAATTGGACTGTTTTCGAGCAATACACTCATTTGCAAATCAATTTGGTTTTCACGGGAGACTCAATTGAATCTCTCGTTTATGATGTCCTCCATACTCATAAGGTTGCTGAAATCTCTTGACAGTATCACGACCGGTTTTTCTCTTCTTGAAGCTCATCATGTAAACAGCTTTTTTTTACATATTTACCACTTCATATTTTGCACCGAATACCGGTTCGCTAATTTAGTAATTCACCAAAATGTTCCTGCATGTTGCCCGATAAGTCTTCAAGTTTATTCTAATAGGTTGCTGCTTAGTTTACACAGCTTTCAGTTAGATTTTTTATCCTATTAAACAGGTTTTTTCGGTTTCATTTAATTGGCCCTTCACTAGCCTCTGGTGGTTAAGTGATAGTGCTTGAGAACTTGCTCATGGCCGCACGCTTGCCAGTCTTTTTCTCTCTATCATTCCCCTCTCTTCTAATCCTTCAGTTAGGAGGCCAGAACGATCCAGTGTGGACCGTCTGATGATGTACTTCAGTTTAAGTAAGTACGAATTCTGCGAAACTCGATCACAATCTTGCGTGAATTTATGCAGAATATTATTTCCACTGCCTGGGGGGAGGTTGGCCAGTAGACCTTCCTTCTTACATGGGAAGGAGCTGAAGGCTGCCCTTAGAGAACAGGTGCACCTGCCTTTGTTTATGCATCTGACTTACCGCCAAAAGGTCATTCCCATATTTCGCTCACGTGACGTGATCGAGTGTGGCCTTGTTGCTCGAGTGACTACTATGCGACCCGTGGATTTGTTTCTATCTAGGGATGTCACGGAGATTCGTCACCAGAGGAGCCAGTCAACCACTGACGTAGGAATGAGCACTGTGTGACTAAACGATGGGTGGTTCCGTTGTAATTTAGTCAGCCACTGGTGGCCGCATAGTGTATTATCCGGTTCGAATCTCCCCTGTGGTCCGTGAGGTGTGCGCTCTTCCTGATTCCCAAACGGGGGATGTAACAGCTCTTGTCTTCTCAACGTTGATTCATTTCATTGATGATCCAGTTACTTTCACTGGGACTTACAAGCATAGAGATCTTCTTTTCAACTTCTTAGGATAGTTGCTTGCACAGAACGTTTCAAGTGGCATGATGAGCCAGCCGAATTTCTCGAGAAGCTTGAATAGATTTACCTGTTTAGGATTTCTAGACACACGCCAATGGAGGAATTTTATCATTTCAGTTTTTGCTTTTTGATATCTGTCCATTTTGTTAGTGCACGACCAATGGCTTACAAACAAACGTCCGCGATGGTTGGTCGACCAACACGAAGTGGATGATATTTGCTTCAACGAAGTCCACGGATCATCAATACCGGCAACCACACTGTCTGGAAAAGGATATTGTCTATTTGTTTTCGGATCTTGCCCCAAACGAAGTGAGTACAATTTATGTAGAAAAAATATCTTCGTCGCCGAACGATTTGTCATGTGTCATGGTAAGAAGGCCACTCATTTCAGTGTTTGTACCATTGGATTTTTCCCCCCAATCCTATGTACCAATACTCAGTTGTGTGTACGCCGAACTGCCACCCGAGTTCGGACGGATGAAATGGTGCTAAGCACATCGATCGTGGTTAATTCCGTTATGGCCCGAGTTGTACGACCATGAGAGAAGAACCAGCCGTGTCTGTGACCAGTTTGTTCTCCATGGGAAATCCAAGTGGCGACACAAACAAAGTAAACTCAACCGTGTGAACCTCTATTCGTCGGCCACGAGCAGACTCAACCTCTTGATATAGGACATGGATCAATACGGCCACGACCAATACAACTAATCAATGCACACTCACGTATCTGACTTACCGGCTTCACAATAGACATGAGTAATGTTACGAGCGATATAGCAAGCCAGGTGGGTAATGAGTTGGCGGTTGCGGTATAAGAAAGCATTGGGATAGAAGATAAAACAGCAAAAATACGATCGACTGACTTTTAGTCTGTCCGCTCAAATCCCTCGCTTCATTTTCCGCCAAACCACACAAGCGCCTCCAAATGAGTTTGTTTTTAGTTGATTCACATTTAATCTAAAGCGACTCGGAGAACTTAAGAACGAGCTTACTAAACTGGATGGCGCGTCGATGTTGAATGCCTGACAACACCTGTCTAACTAGCGACTGTGAACCGTATATTGAAGACATCTTAGGAAGCTACAGCAAAGAGTGGAGTGTCTTGAACCAAATCTGTGGCGGCAACCCTAGCACCAGCCTTGAAGCTGAGCAGCTTTTCTTGGAGGTTCCTTGCCTCGTCCAGAGAGGTCTTTCCTTTGTCTACTAGGTTGAGTTCCAGGCTGCCTGACGATGTCTGCAGAAAACTAGTGCAACTCATGTGCCACATGAATCGTGGTTGTGGTATACTCACCCCAGTAAATTTGAAAAAAACGTATTACAGCTTTTCCTTTTAATTTCGTGACTTGATTGGCTTATGTACGTCCAGAGGCCCGATGCTTGGCTGTTGCAGAGCAGCTTTCGAGAAAAAAAAAGCGAAAAAACTGCAGTTATTTCCCACTTCTTTTGAAACGATACGGTTGTTAAAGACAAAGGCATTGGTCGGTTTGGACAGTAACTTCCAGTCTGCTTAGGGACGCTACAAGCACCTTATTACGCATTCCGCCGTTTCAGAGCTGGACAGAAACGCTGGAGTATTCATACCAATCTTAATCACACGAAGACTTTTGGACGCACATTGATCGAAGTACTTTACCAGAACTCTTCCAAGGCAATGATCCATGGCATCAATAATAGCCAGCATGATAAAGTCAGTGGCCGGAGGTTGTATGCCATTACAGAGGACAGCTTTTCTATGCTTCCCATCAACTTGTCTTCTGCAAGAGACCGTTCTGTCACCTTTCTCGTTTTCCAGTAAAAATGAACTAACTGGTTGTAAATATGTCTGTGACATCACCTGCTAGTGTCTGTGTGTCTCCATTTGGAGGCTGACTTCACTAACCTCTTCACACCTTGTCTTGACCCGAGTGTTTCGATATCTCTTCATGGTCCTTACTATCAGTTTCTAAATGAAGACAACCACGATTCCTTCACTAATCTTGCTTGGTTAGTTACTTAATTGTGACTGTATTCCGTCTCCAAGGATACGAGCCTAGCTTATCTCTGTTCTTTATTATTGAAGAAGCCGAGTTGCACCACATCAGTTCCCACATCCATTTTTCTCCGTCTCAAGGACAAAGGCTGTGTTGATTGCTCACTCCCTTGAATTGATACCCTAACCTTCCCCATTATGCTGAAGTCACCGTTTTCACGCATTTTTCAGCCTGTACTAGGTTTGTTCAGAAAATTCTACTGGCGGAAGGAAGGAGGCCTTCGCTGCGCAGTTATTTATTAGAAAATGTCAACCAAACAGTTACAGGCTATTGGACAGGGAAGCAAATCTCTCATATGCATCTTGTTTACGAATCAACTGAACCGTTGCAGACAATTGGACAGGGAAGCAAAACTCTCATATGCATCTTGTTTGCGAAAAACTGAACATCCATCTTCTTCTTGAACGCGTCTTCCTAAACTTTCCTGGATATTAATTGGCTGTAGCTCAAATCCAAGCAAATGTTACAAATCGACTCCACAAATTTCGTAATAGATCCCACTTTTCAAGAGACGCAAAGCGGATTTACGAGAAAACATACTACTCCCATGACTCTCCCATCAGTAGTATCCCCATTACACTAGGACGTTCGTGTTTGCAACAGCCTTTCTCTGTAGAGATGATCTTTAGGATTGACCTCATAAAGAAGCACTTTTCAACCGAGATCTCATCCTGCAAGTGAAGGTAGTCGACGCACTAGTCAGTTCTTGACTGCTTATTTGTCCGTATCCGTCTAAGATGCAATAAATGTAGACTAGTTTCCTTGCGAATATTTGACGAGCATGATTGCCAATCGCAACCTACCTCACCGATGTCGTTTTTGTCTTCTCACTCCTAAATCACGCATTCTTTTATTTCTGTCGTGTTGGTTTGTTAATTCTGTGTTCCCTCCACTGTGCTGCCCCACTGGACAGTGGGGCAAGTTTGATTTGTTTTTTTTTACTTGGCAATGCCCGAACCTTTTTCACACCTGGACCCAGACGCCTCTCAATTGATCGTAATAATTTGCTTTAATTACCATGACGTTGTAGTGAGAAGAAAGCTGCCAGCGAATCCATCGTCGGGCTAGGATAGATTCATGGACTTTAGGCAAGCAACAACTGGGGACGCTCTGTCGTGGGTGGCACAGCTGCTTACGCAGTTCATCTGAACAAACCATGACAATCAGGTCGTGTGCGGTGGTCTTTAGTTCCGACGCACTGTCACTCTTGAGTTCTGTATGACGGGTCTAGGGATGTTTTACTACGTTTGAAGGTTTTTCCCTCTGTAGTATACCCAAGCGAGCTGTTCAGGGTTTGTCTGTGGGACGGACTGTTGTAGCAAATTCTTGGTACAGGTAAGATGACTTGTCAAATCATATACTCGATGTGTGTGTGTGAATGGCTGTTGTCTCAACTGTGTTTGAACAGATCAAAGGCAACCGGTTTGCTGGTTTCTCCGTTTCTATTCAGAAAGGCACTTGGTACACAGACAGGAACTTCTTAAGCTCTACACTTTAACGTCAGAGAACAGGGATCATTCGTTTTCGGATCTATATCAATAGGATCCATACTAGGTCACAATCAATAGTGTACACATGCACCTCTTGTCTTCCCGGCGCCAATCTGAACTTTTTCGAAGGATTTTGACACAAATTTTCTCCACTACGTAAACATTCTTGGTTTAGAGGGGCTATCTGATCAAAGGAAGCATTCAAATCAATGGGGTTTGTCGAATTCACTTCGAATGTCATTCATTCACTACCAGAGTGATTCCTCTATTTTACTCTGAGTATCTTGTATCTAAACGTTGACGATGTTTTTTGTTACGCCCATGTTTGCAGATTTCGAAATGCTGGGAGCATCTCCTTACATGAACTCCGTGCTATGTTGCACTGTGGCGGGCAACTCAGGTGTGAGTGAAAGCAACACGGAACCCGAGCATGATACACAACCACTACGATCATTTGTCACACTTGGTCACGCGTCCGCCAAAGACATCCAGGAGCTGAATGGGTTCTCTGGCACCAAAGTGTTGGAACTGGATACGAACACCACGTCGGAGACGTGTCCGCAGTTCGCAAATCTAGTATTGCGTCGCCGTGTTGTGGAGGGACACATCGCGCCCCCTACGATGCGCTTGGAAAACACGCCCGAATTGACACGAATGTTCAACGTAACACATATGAGTTATGATGAGTTTAAACAGCGAACAGGTATATGGGCCCGTGAGAATATCGCATACACGCACTACTGTGAATATTCCGTCCGAAAGACACCCTCAGCATCGCTGGATACTAAAAGAGGTAAGCTGGGTGTCGATCCCTGGGATCTTGATGAAGCATTTCATAAAATAACAAAACCAGAACGTTTATCTTGTGTTTGAAAAATCAGTGCTTTTTATTCTGCTTTGCACTTGGTTACTATCCAGTATTCCGTTTGTCTGCAAAAGTGTCCCAAGAAGCAGCAAAACATAAAGGGTCCCTATATGGGTGTAGGGACGATATTTTCCTCAGCTTAGTTCTCGGTCTGAGCGTCTCAAGCTAGTTCTCACTTCAAAAACAACCACCAAAGGCGCACAAGTTACATTAACGCCAAAAAACAAAGTCAGGAACACTGGTACAGCGCTTCATATATATAATGTTAGCAGCGACAACTTTCTGGAAATTCTGACGACTTCTGAATACGGCATTACCAACCGGCATTTGGCCAATATTGCGTCATGATTGGCTGTTGCGTCCAGACTTTCGACCAATCAGATCTCGGCTTGATACCGGGCCGGCAAGCGTCCCGAACTTTTGGCCAGTCTTGCGCGGGATAGGCTTGTCGACCGTATCAGCACGTGACTGCGAGCAGTAAAGTGGGATCAGTGTGGAATTCTGCCCAACAATGGAACATCGTTGTACAACAAGGTTTCTAAAGTGGGATCCACGCATCCTTCATGGGCGCTGGATTGCGGAACTCTAGGTGTGAACATCTTGTCTTCAGTGACCCAAACAGTAAGTCAAAACTTGGCACATCTAGCCTTTTTATTGACCCAACACCACCTGTAGGGTCTGTGAAGACCCATCGACAAGCCACAATCAGTTTCGCCTGTCTTGGAGCTTATCAGGGAGGCAGGACCACCGGGTTTCCATCAGTTTTATTCGCCAATTCAGTAACTTTGCATACTCAAGGCATATAAGCAATGGTGAAAAGCAGCCGACTAGGAATTCTCCTAGTTTGGGGCTATGTTCGTGATCTCGACACATTCCAAGAATTCATTCATTCTTCGAGTCAGGTCTTATTTGAATCGTAGTCAATCATCTAGGTGTCACCTAGGTGGATGCGATTAAGTGGCTTATCAGAATCGAGCGGCTGCAACTGCTTTCAAATATCTACCCAAGCTTCCATGGCGGGGAGCTAACAACTAGTTGAATTCCTGCTAAGGCTCTCGTAACTGCTCCGAAAACTGATATCACACCTGTTACTCAACTCACGAATGATCTGTAACCGTAAACTTCAATCTGCGATGCGCTTGCTCCAGTCATCTACCTCTATAAAGACAAGCTGATTGGATCCACTTATCTCCGACGATGGTGTGTCATTTTACCGCAACAAGTCAAGTTCTTTGAGCACCATCCTGTGAAGTGGCTCCGACTGAATTCAATGATCTGCAGGTCACCTTCGTGGCTTGTGTCTCTGAATTACTGGCTGTCTTCGAGCTGCCTTCAAGCAACTTAGTTCTCAGCTTGTCTCGTTCATTGGTCAAGACAAATCTGTTCAACTTCTTCTAACAGAGGGGACTTTTGAGGCCATTTTTAAAGGACTAGGAGGAATTATTTCGAAAAAGACTACAGATTCCAGTGTACTTGGAGTACTCTTAGCATCGAGGAGAACATTTACACCAATCAGTGTGGAACCTGGAATGGTATGCTAAGCAATCAAGCTCATTTGTCAATACTAGAAGTGCGCAACGAAGACAGCCACTAGAGCGAAAGAAAGAGTTCAATCACCATGGCTCATCGTCTCTAAACAGAAATCGATTTTCACGTCAATAAGAGTTCGGAACTGTAGCTGGAGAGTGTTCAGGGCAGTAGTTACTATTTTTCACTCTCTTTCGATGAGCTCTGTATTCTTTCATCATTCTATTGGCAAAGCCTGCAAGATCAGAATGAACTTTTCCGTCAAGAGAGGGGGGCATTGTCGCAGAAACAAAAGACGTGGGTCGAATAAAGGTTTTTTTAACTAAGGCAACAGCATGGTCCCTGTCGATGGCACGACTCACAAACGGTTGCCTGGCAACAACTGTACTACTGTATACATTTAATCGACCATAGTTTATCCAACTATCTAGCATCTTTTGACCTATTTTTTCCCAGAGTAACGAATAAGGTTCCCTTACGTCATCAGGACCAGCTGATACTGAAAGCGCGAATTCGAAAGAAGTTGCATTGTTTAATGCACACTTTTTTTTGCAAATTTCACATCGAACATCCTAGCGAATATGTTTGACCATGGAAGAGTTTAAATTACCACTTTAGAACAAGGTGAGGTTGAACGAATGTCCGTGAATACAGGATGTACGAGAAATGAAAACTTTGTTGTTCTAACTCTGAAAGATCCAGTTTCCCCGAAATGGCCTCTAAAATTTGCTCTTTATATGAATATTTTGCCTTCGACTCAGACTGGCCAGTTGCAAACTTTGCTCTTCCGAAACCCGTTTCTGGNCCGAACAACTGGAGACCGGCACTTTTCAGCATCGGCAGGACGAGTTCGGTTTCCATTATTCTCAGGTAAGAAGTGGGGATTTAACCTTGGGCGACGGTTGAAATGAGCCACTCAAGACTGAGGCTGCCTCGTTTGAATCGATGCTTTCGTCAGCGAATAATCCTAAATGCCACACACGAACTTTGCAAAGTATGTAGTAGGCGGTCTTGTCATACTGTTCACAATTCTGGGTCCACTATCAAGAATTTTTTTGTCGCTTTTACTTCTGGTTCAATCGATGTTTGAAAAGTGATCAACATGTATTGGTGAGTCCAAATGTCTGTCTTTATATTTTCAAGTTCTATGGGCTTCTGAAATGGTGGAATGTTAGACACCGATATTCCTGCCGTCCGGAAAACTCGTTTGTTGAAGGAATATTACGACAAGGGACGTGACACTAACAACTAATTAGTGGTACTGTGTCTTGTTTGTAAAAGAAACACCATTCAGGAGCACCGTTCAGTTAGTGGTCCACAATAAAGCAGAGGTATAATCTCAGTCCCCCTTGAATTGTCTGTGATTTGCACTTACAAACTGATCCAGTCCCCAGATGTGTTGCCAATTTTTCAAGAAAATTATCGGCTAGTTTGGATGGCCGGACGAGTGGAATTCGGTCCGTTTCCCTTTACCTATCAAACGAAAGCAGTCCAAGGTCACAGATGAAGCTGTGAGCCAATCAAAGCTTGCCTTTTTGTTCACGCTTGAGAACAGTGCTGGAGGTGGAAATCATTCCCCGCTCGATTAAAAAAGGATTTTTTCGACATGAAGGATTCACCTCGTAAGAAAAACTGGTCCACAAAATTATCCATTCAAAGTGTCTTGGGTGAACAGAATGCTGTCTTGACAACGAAATCGAAAGCAGTTCTTCTTTCGTCGAATTGTTACTCGTGCTGGGTTATTCCTGAGGGGAGAATACAAGATCATTGTTTTGTAACGATCCACTCTGCTATGATATCAGGACTTTGGGCGTAAGACGCCATGAAGGACAAACGCCAGTTGTTTGTACTACACTAAGTGCAGCTATCTGATTTCTAGGTAGAGTTTTGTTGTCTTCCAGTCCACTCGGCGTTCCCCATCTAAAATTGCAACCTCACTACACCCAAAGTACTCTTTTCAAAACAATAAATGACTGAACTATCTCAGGCAAACATGGGGAATTTAAATTGTCAAAAATGAATAATTAAGTGACATTGGAATCACCGAGTCAGGCCACATATTCAAACTGTTAGACTTTGGTGACAACAACCAGGCTTGGATTGACTAAAACCCCAATTTGGCGAAGCATTCAACGAAGAAGGAGCACGGTTGATTGATCCGGTTGATCTCGACATGAACCATAGAAGAAGTTTCACTAAAGTAGCACGGAAGTTTGTATCCGTCAACTGTGGATGATCTGGCGTTTTACTACAAATCATGGTACATAGCGATCCACAAAAAACGTGGATTCCACCAAAGTGGAGCACCAGCGACTATGCACAAATTATCTTTATTACAGGGCCCGAACGCGTTTCGCACTCTTTGAAAAAAATTCTCGGGTTTTCTCCGCTCCTCAAGAACTACTTTAAAAATTACTCATACGTTTAGTTGTGATCATACAACGCCCGGCCAGGTGTTACCGGCTTAAGTTTTAGGTGTCACAAATTGGATGGCATGGAATCAGATGAATTTTTCAAACAGAAAAGGGCAGTATTCAAACGGGGACCTTTTCAGGACATTTTCCAGCTTAACAATCCAAAAGTCACTGGCATGACTGGAAAAATAAACAATACTAAAATGGGAGTAGATTTGACGTGATATACGCTACTCATAAGGTCGCTGAAAAGTTTCAACAGCCCACTACTGGTTTCGCCCTTCTTGGTGCTCATTAGGTAGGCTTAGTCTACGAGTTTCCGCCAACTTTGTGTTTTAATTGAACCCAACTTGCACGAAAGGAGTGCACTTTACTCATTTGTTCACCAATTTGGTTTTGACTGGATGCTCACTTGGAAAGCAGTTGGGTCGCCCGTTCTTGGCGCTCCTAAGTAACTGAATGCGCTGGTGAAAGGAAGAATTCTTCACTGCGGAGTTATTAGACTATTGGACAAGGAAGCAAAACTCTCATATGCATCTTGTTTACAAAAACTGAATATTCATCTTCACCTTGAATGCCTCTTCCTGAACTTTCTTGGATATTTATTGACTGCTACTCAGATGCAAGCAAATGCCACAAAGCGACTCCACAAAGTCCGTAATAGATCTTACTTTTCAAGAGGCCCCAAGCGGATTTACTAGAAAACATGCTACTCGCATGTCCCATCAGTGGTATCCACCGTTACACTGATAGTGTCCCAAGAGGCAGCATCAGATATACGAGGAGTAATGTAACATAGATTAAAACACTCAAATCAGATATGGCCGTACCAAAGCATTATAGACCTCTTTTAATTTTTAACTTCGTGTAATTTGCAATCGCTCAGTCCTATGTGGCACATCATATAACTCTATACTGATGCCCTCTGAATACTGAGATATATTCTATCACGATGCTCGACAATAATGTATAGTTCTTTGCAAGGGGAGAGAAAAGAATGCAAAGTGCCGTTAGCGTTTAATATAATTTGCCCCGAAAGTAGATCTTCTCGTCACCGAATCGACTGAAAACCACTTTGGTCAGTAGCGAGAAATTTTGTCTTTTATTTTTCACTCTATGTTCTGGTTTTGATGGTGAGACAAAATCCTACGCGTAGGTTGAAGACATGGCGTTTTTGCTTATCTGACAAGTTGCATTAAAAAGATTCTCCGACTGCTCAGTGATTGGAATCAACAACGTGTCAGATTCCGGTCAGAATATCTGCGTCCTGATCATTTTCAATGAGGACCACCAGTTATTCCGTACAAAAAATTACGTACTGGCTGCAATGTTCTCCATGAAATAGCTACGTTTGTTTCTAAAGTATGTCTAAAACTGTGATTAACGAGCTTGGTTGGGTCAAGCTTGCTAGGCCACTTGCAGTTCGAAAGGAAGTTTTACTTACTTCCAGTGTGTTAGGCATAGCTGGCTGTCGACCGTCACGTACTGGCTGCTGGTGCAACCCATCTAAAGCCATCGACTGTACGGCTGGCGAGCTTCGACCGACTTTGTCAAATGGGGCTCTGCGCACGAATCCCGTGCTGGATCAGTGTACCTTTGGATCTACCTTAGGTGGTCCGTCTGCGCCACAATCCTGAGGCAAGCAGTGCATTTTCTGACTGAGTCGGGTCAGGGCATTGTCTAACCGGAACGACAGAGGGATCGAGCTCCTGTCACATACCTGAAGGGAGGACTTCGAATGTGATGGCGTGTGTGCGTTGCGCAAAAACCTATATGTGGCAAACCGGGAAAAGCAGTAAACAGATAGGATAACGGAAAGCAGGACTGACATCTCCGATTTTATAGAGGTGCCGGTGGGCGGGCGATCCATCCGAAGATACCAAGCATGCGGTAGTTCTTTTAGGTGTACTTCTTTCACGCTGGCGCTGTTTCACGCTGCATTGTGTTTCAAGAACATCTCGCGTTCTCCCATAAGCAGACCAGCGCTTCTTGGCTGATAGACAGTGTCAATTCACTTATATGAGAATGGATAGCCAGTCATCTTGTAGCCTGGTGAATTCATGGACCACTGAACAAAATTCAATCTTGGAGATACTGATTTGGTTTTGACAGGAGAATCACATGGAACAAAACTGCATGTCTCGTTTATGACCTTCAGTCTTAGTGGTTGTTGATCAGGTGGCAGTCGGCTAGTACACCAAGCTTAGCAATTAGTCTGTACATGTTTCGTCACCATATGAGGTAACACCTTCAGTGGGCTGTTGAGTGCGTGCGTCTTTGATACACCGTCGTTTCCTTTCGAAACTTCGACATCTTTAACCCAAACTACAAACCTCAAGCCACCATTCGGGGGGAGGGGTGTATAATCCGCAATCGCCCCGGAAATTAGCAAGATGCATACTGCTGGTGATACCCGATGAGAAAAAAACAAGTGCACAGTAGCCACCGGCTTTTCAGCACTGACTGACTCCACTTGAAAGACGAAATATAACTACCGAGCAAACAAAACCAAATCAAGGTTTACCTAGAAGCGTCATCAAATAGTGCGACAGGTTGACGGAAACTCCGGGATTGCGCCTTACTGATGAGCCCCAAGAAGGCCGAAACCAATCATGGGCTGTCGAAGAGTTTTCAGCAACCTTGTGGGTAGTTTTCCTTATGAAAATATACTGCGATATCTCGCATATCGTACCTACTGAAACATGATGCGGCCTGTGTGCAGCACATTCACTTGTAGAATATCATAAAGGAAAGATTTATTTGAGTCTCTCGTGAAAACCAAATTGATTTGCAAACTAGTGTATTTCTCGAAAACAGTCCTATTCGGGTTCAAGTAGAACATGAGGCTGACGGAAGCTCGGGGACTGCGCCTACCTGATGAGCTCCAAGACGGATGAGACCGGTCGTGGGCTGTCGGGGAGTTTCCAGCAACCTTGTGAGTAGTTACCTTTATAAAGATTGAAACTTCATTCACATTCAGTTCACACCTTTCCAGCCTTGTTGTGACCTCGTCGATGTGACCACAGAAGATTTCTCGACAAAAAAGTTAGAATTTTTCCTGGTAAAAACCACGAAATGAGAAGTAATCGCAGTGGAATCAGAGCCACCTAAATCACAAAACGACAAACCCGTTTCGATTTGAACGTAATACACTACTCATGAGATTGCTGACAGCTTTCCAACAGCCCACAACTGGTTTCGCTTTTTGTGGGTCTCATTAAGTAGGTGAAGTTCCCGAGTTTTCATCAACCCTATATTTGACTCGAACCCAAATTGATACTTCCGGTTGCACACAAATTTGCTTTTAACCGGAGACCCACCTGAATCCAGCTGAATCGCTTGTTTATGATGGTTTTCTGCAAATGACTGTGCTGCACCAGGCCACCTCGTGTTTATGTTGTTATGATATTCGAGATATCGGAATACGTTGTTATTAACAGGTAACACACTACTCATGAGGTAGCTGAAAACCGTTCATTTATGACGGTCCGCAACACATTCAGTTGCAGCGAACTGTCATAAACGAGATATTCAGCTGAGTCTTGTGGCAAAACCAACTGAGTGTGCAAATGTGAGTGTCCATCGTTTCGGTTTACTTACGAAAGATTTGTGTGAGTTTAAGTTGGTGAATCGCAAATGATCAGTACAGATGGAACAATATTTAAACTCATCGACACTGGCCAGTAAACTCGGAACGACTCGAATTGGTGATAGCGCCATCCTTCTAAAGTGTTTTTGTGTGACTGTCGTCTGACGCAAACGGATACCATTGTCCTGGGCACTGAATCATACTCATTTCATGATCACTGTGTTTCTGGGGAACAGCTTTGAAACCGGTTCTTCCTCAGCTATAAATCTGCAACCTGAGCAGCACTCATAATCAATACGAACCAATTTAAGCCGGTAAATTACGTCATCAAACTGCTTTGTGTTTTATCTTGCACCAGGCTGTGGTGCTGGAGGCCATAGACCAGATGGGAAACAAGTTTATGGGGAGTCCTTCTGGTACGTCCCTCTAAAATTTCATTTCAGCACATAAGGATATCGATTTTCGTGATCTAAAGTGAATTAGATTGGTTATGGCGAAATATATAGTCTTACATTACGATTAAAGTACTTTGGTGTCCTTGTTAATGAAAACCGTGGCAGTCTGCCAATAGCTTCGTCAGAGGATCGTCAGGCAGACAGGGTGCTAAAGATTTCACCGGTCATATCGCTAGCCATGGTATCCTAAGTGATACCTTCCTCATCCGTCTTTCCTTGACCCTGGCTGTTCAACTTTTCATAATATTCAATTCGTTTGGTACTTCACACCTTAGTATGCCTTTCTCATACTTGCATTCCAGCCCATTCATCTTGACGGGATTTATCTGCGGGGTGATAAGAGGACTTGGTTGCAGTACTGTGTGTTCACCTCCGATGGAGCGATCCAGCCCACAGCGGAAGATTACGTACCAGCGGAACTCCCGCCGGGACACTATTGTGTATTACGCGTCAGGAGCGAATGTCCTTCTGGTAAGTAGCGACACCTTTTCGCTAGCTGAGTTGTGTCCACTATGGGGAAGCAACACATTAGGGAATAGGTCATCGGGGTCTGCCGGATCCAATCAAACTCCACCGTTTGCAGCGCTGTAAAAATTCGATCGATAGGTCGATTTTACGAGGAGGCTGTACAGCATACTTCGTCCACTGCACCGTCGTTGGTGCAGGTGAAATCAGCAGCTTGAGTACTGCTGTGTGTGACTGAGCACAAGTGAGAACGGACGACCCAGGGTTTTTCATTTGTGATATTCCTCTAATGCAGGTGTTGCACGCAGACCGCTTCACGTTTCGCAAGATACAACAGTCGAGATATCTTAGTATACATTTCTGGAAGCCACCTGATAAGTCCCAACAAGGACAAAATCACCACAAAGGGTTTTCAGCAATTTTACAGTCAGTGTGTTAGGTAAAGTAAATAACAAACCAATTGTGTGAAGAAAATTAGACATAAAATTACACCTGAGTTATTGACGAAGTTGCCATGGTGCTCTGGGATTGGATTTGCTCGACGGCATTCTGTACAATGGGCGCTCTTTCAGCACTCATAGACTTTCTCCCTTTGTCAGGAAAATCCAGTATAGATCCAGTGTACTCAAATTTTGCAATCAATCATGTAATGGTCGACACGGTGAAAGGATCTTTGATGAGACCACGTTTAGTTTTGTAACCACGAGGTGCAGTGGTGGCGCTTTCACCAAGGGAATAATAGAGTTTCACAATTTCAATGCGCGTACTAACATCCATCGTAAACAAAAAAGCTCACAAAACTTCTTTATGTGGCTACTAAAAATGAAAAATTTTGTAACCTTTCCTTTGATTAACTACGCTTATTTACTCAATCAAATTTTGCGTCTATTGTGAGACGCATTGTAAAACAGGGGTGTTCGGTTGTACACACCAGAAAACGTACAGCTGTCTCAAATGTTTGGGTTTGACTATCCATTCAGGACAGAATCATGCACTTCAGCTGACTGAACTGTCAAAATGGGTCTAACATGACTGGGATATTAGTTAAAAGTTGGGGGAATCAAAATCCAAAACGTTCCTACAAGCCTTAATATTGTGGTCGGCAATGCCTTCAAGAGAATCCGACAGCGGCAGCCAAAAAATGCTGCCACCAAACTATAAATGGCTGTTCATAGCACGAGCTTATTGGTGGTCGTGGAATTTCCAGAAGAACATAACAAAAGCTTAAGATCACAGGTTTTCGTCTTTGAGTGTTCTCGGGCGCATTTAAAGTTGGCGGAAGGAGGCCAGTCATTTAAAAGAAACGCACAGCAATCAGGTGTCAATGATTAGGCGGACCATACTCCATCCCTAGTTATCAGATGTGTTCCTGAAATAGTATATTGATTTCCACATCAAGCCCCTCTGTTGGAATCGCCCAAAAATTCAAATCACCTCGTGAGGCAAGCCTCACCTGTCATTGTTTAATAACTTTACTACTTCCGTCAGCAGTCAGTAAGCACATTCAAAGACAGGGAACGCGTGTGGAAAGCGGTCTTCGATAAACCGAGTTGACACGTGACGGTGTGGTTGTCAACCCACGTAGAATCATTAGCGAAAACCGGGGGGTTGGGGTGGAAATCCCAACCCGATCAAAGGTCACAGCATCCCTCTTACACAACTATCGTAGCACTACCTCATCCACACAGACGGACAGAAGGTTCAAACGACGTTCAAGAAGAACTATCAAATGAACCAGAAGAACTAGACCCTAGGCTGGATCCAAACACATGTAGGTTCCCCCACCGACCCAACACTTGTTCAACCACTCTAACACACAAAAACCCCACGGCCGACACCCAACAGAGATTTAGCTTGACTTAGCTGATTGGTTCTCCTTCCGCCTTAAACCTCGACCAATCTCGGAACATAGTCACTTGGCCTGACGAAGCTTTTGTGTCAGAAGCGAAAGGTTGCCCAGCAATCAGTTTACCGATTGTCACCAAACTTTTTCGAAAACAAAGACAGGGGATTGTTTTTCGAATTAGTTTTGGCGTTCTTCCCGACTAAAACTTGTCTGTTTGAGGAAACAACCTGTTCAAAACGAAAGTTGACTTAATCAGTAGGTCTTTCTCACCTGGACTGGACATGCCCTGGCTTGTCACTGGAATTGGCTTACTGCACCATTTGTTTTAGTACACACCAAGGGTAATCAAACTGGGATAAGAGATAACCCAACGCGAAATTAATCCTTCTAAATTACTGACTTTTCTGTGGAATCGCCACCTTGCACAAGGTGGAATACCGGGCAACTGCCACCCCCAAACAGAGCAAAGTAGTCCACCGCAGGTTCTCGAAAGTTGTTGAACAGATTCGGATATGAGCGAGGTTCAATAAAAAGTGGTGATGGCCGACTGTAATGTTATTGTTGTGCACCCCTTCATCAAGGCATCAGTTTGTCGGTGAGTCATTCCACTATTTCCTCAAAGCATTTTATCGAGGTGGGGTCGTCTTCTATCTTTCTGGATTCCCTGTCAATATCGGGCATAAGTCGCAAAAGCCCTTTGTCAGCCGCAACTTTGCGCATCAGTTAATTTGCCGGTTGTTTTTGGTACTTTTTCGTTCTGTTTCAAGTAAGTTAATCGAATTCACGCTTTTTGCTTCCAAGCTGCAAGACGACTCGGGTGAAATCTCGGGAAGGAAAAAAGTTCATGATCTTGTCTTTGGAAAATAGCATACTTTTAACTTACGCTACTGTTGCAAGTACAAGCTCGTGGCCTTGTTATCGTAAAGTCCTTCGCGAGGATTCATGAATTATTAGTGGTTTTTTGGCTGATGGCTAGTGACCCTGGAGGCTGACCTTGATGTGGCCACAAATTCGTCTTTACTCGATGCGCTGCCTCACCAAATCCATCGGGAATTAGCACTCAGCGCTCCTGTGTAATCACTAATACATGAAACCATGACTAACCGCCTTGGAAGCTCTGTGTATCTGTATTCGGGAATTAGCAGCGCTCCTGTGTAATCACTAATACATGAAACCATGACTAACCGCCTTGGAAGCTCTGTGTATCTGTATTGTTAGGTTCGTTCAAAGCCCAGTATTCTTGCAAGACGATCCAGATGGCTTAGTGACAGCTCAAATCGCCCAACAGTTTCAGTGTCCTAGACAACTCTGCTACCTGTTGTTTTGATTTTAGCAACAAGTTTTGTATGCCTGTTAGATGGAATATTCCATACAGATTACACTTTAATAGTTTGATCATTTCCAGGATTCTCGGAGGGCGTACTTAGCATCATCGAAGGTCCTCAAAAGGCGCATCCCCGTATTCCAGGTCATCTACGGGATGCGATTCTCGATTCTATTCCGCAACACACACCAGTATTTGATATCACACGAACACGTCTGACCGCTAAGGACCCGGCGATTACTGTCCATCGTTTGGATTACCACTTCTGTTGCAGAGCCGACTCTCCTGGAGTGGATATTCCAATCCAGGGTTTTCCAACGGAATCTGGAGCCTTTTTCCTCTACAGGTTAGCTGAAATTTCACCCTCTTTGTTTCGGGTTTTGTTTTCTTGGTGCGAGTGTAAGCGTCGCAGGAATAACAAACGTACATCAATCCCAATCCCAAAGTGACTGAACGTTGATCGCAGTAGCTGGTTTGTTCGAATTCGAGGCTCCGTTTGTCTTTAACCCATCAAAATTCCACCCACCCGCTGTGGAAATGGTCTCACTCAGGTTGTGGATTCCACGCTAAAACACGGTAAAACACGAGCCCAGCACCTGAATACAAATGAGTGGCGACAGTCTGTGTGTATTTTCTGATGAGCTGTTGCTCTATGAAGGTACTCACTGGATATTTGCAAGAGGTTCTAGTGCTGTTTATCTCCTCTCTCCTCATACAAGTGCGGAACTCCTTGGTTTCAAGAATGTCTGTGCCGATCTTTTCCAAATAAGTCCCGCCAAAAAATAGAAAAAACAGGATATAAAATGTGTACTCTGTAGTTTCTATTGAAGAGGGTGAAATTGGAACATGTCATTAATAATTTGCATGAAAAGGTCGGTTTTTCGGTGCCTTTGCCTCCAAATGAACTCACACAGGTAGCTGTCCACTAAAGATTGGTGTGTGCATCATTGGCGTTTATTCCGTATCTTGTAGACGTGCCAAAGAGATTCGATGGTTTGTGTGTAAGCGTGGTTTTTACGGCGAGATGTTAGCATTTCATCGATCCCGACCTGTAGACCTGGGCCGTCGATAACTGTTGGAGTCTGCAAAATTCACCAGCTGCAAACTTCGCGAAGAAACTTTTTCCAGCCAACAGTGATCGTGTGGCTAATAGATGATTTTATCTGAGCAGAATTTGATTTTTGCCAAATTTTTGGACCAGCAGTAAATTTGGTTTTTCGAGAGAATCACCTGGAACCCCGCTGAATTTCGCATTTGTGATGTTTCTAGGCAACTGAATGTGCTGCACCGGGCCACGTCATGTTTCAGTCGCTACGATATTCGAGATATCGCGATACATGTATATCTTTGTAATGCACTACTCAGCATCCTTATGAGTAGTGCATTACGAATAGAATTACTGTCCGAAACTCTATCCTAGACCGCTCCAGCCAAGTTCCCTTTCGAAGCGGTCTTAGATAAGCCGAGTTGACACGTGACTGTGTGGTTGTCAATCCACGTAGAATCATTAGCGAAAACCGGGGGGTTGGGGTGGAAATCCCAACCCGACCAAAGGTCACAGCATCCCTCTTACACAACTATCGTAGCACTACCTAAACCACACCGA